CTCTCTCTCTCTCTCTCTCTCTCTCTCTCTCTCTCTCTCTCTCTCTCTCTCTCACACACACACACACACACACACACACACACACCAGTAACATTGTATTAAGAAAATAGTGGTCACTCCTTCTGTCCATATGTAGGCTATACCGCCTAGGTGAAACATTTGGACACTTCTCTGTCCCAGTGTCTGACTTCACAGAGCTTTCTTGTGACAACAGGTATAAAAAAGTCTACAAAGTTCACCAGGACGTGTGCTTTAAGGAACGCTGCCAGAGCACAAGCCTCAAGAAACCCAGACAGGTGTGTCTCGGGGCCAGGATGTCGTGCATGCAGTTCTGTGGGTGGGTAGGGATAGCAGTGACAGAGTTCGGTCAAGCTAGGCTATTTGCCCAAAGCGCAGCCCATGTGTAGCTGTATTCTGTTCAGAAACTAGTGCCCACACATGTGCACATGAATGCACAGATAGGCCCAGCTGTGCTTGGAGGTAGTCACTGTGGTTCTGCACAGGAAATGTGCTAACAGGAAAGCACAGGATGTGACTGACAGGCCCAAATGTCTAACTTGAAGTCTCCCCACAATACCGGTTGCTTTCTCCTCATTCCATAACATCCTTCAACTGGTGTGTGCACCCAGACTGAAAGGCCAGGCCTCCAGTCAAGAGTGTGGGCTTTGCTGGGTTATATATGAGGAACAATGAGGCTAACAGAGCTAGGGTTTAAGGTATACAAGATTCCTTCTCACCAAGCTGGTTTTCTTAATTCTTTCAGGAAACAAAGTAACAGTCAAACACTGAAGAAATCTTAAGATACATTCTCCTTCATACTGTTGAGAACTGGAGACACCATCACACCCAGCACCTTGGACACCCCAGGTCCTTTATCAGACACTGATGGCAAAAACTCAGTACTGTGCTATTACAGACCCAACCAGGAAGGTTCCAGAGTTTCCTGTCTTTAGCCTCCCAAAAGACATAACCTGGTCTGACCTTGCATATGAATCTAATTTCAGGTGGAAATGAGTCTCTCAAGGGAAATGCAGACCAGTTACAATGAGGCACAAAAATCACCTGGTCCCTTCAGGACTGTGGGCCTGGGTGGATGGATCAAGGATGCCAAACAATCCTAGGGGTGCTGGGAAGGACCTAAAGAAGTACCCCCAAGCACTACTAATAGCATTCTACTGGTAGACTAGGGCGGGAGCCTTGCCATGTAACCTGCGGGTGATCCTAAGTACAGCTCTCACTGGGAGAGCTGTAATGGACCCTGGACTAAGCACGAGTAACCCTGAAATGAAAGAAATGTTGCCTGTTTGATCCAGCATTCCCCACCCACCTCCCCATGCATAAACGCATTGGATTTTTTTTTTTTCACAACAGTCTGGAAAATACTGGGTTACACTACAGAAATCCCTCTATAGCTGAGCTCAGCCCCATACTGACTTATTGATGGGACATCAGTTGGAAACGACAGACTGGCTGGCTGGAGACAATTTACTCCTCTCCCTTGGAGGAGCCAGAACAGTACATCTTTCCAGTGGTGGAAGAGAGACATATCTGGAAACCTGCCACTTCAGGAGTGACTATCACCTTTCTCTTCTACAGTGTAGGACATGAAGGAGAAATGTCACTCAAAGGCCTAAGAACAAGCAAAACCAATGGAGTTCTAGGTGAAGGTCATCCTAAGTACAGTAGCAGGCAGAGTGTTGGCACAGACCAAGCTCAGGGTATCAGGAGAGCAGGCTCTCAGACAGGCCTAAGCAGCAGGGCCTGTGCATCTTGACCATTTCAGATCTGAAAACCCTGCAGCAGGAACAGCTGACAAGACTCCAGTCCTGTCTACTCAACAGCATCACCTTTTCACCTCAGCCCCCAAGAATGCACACAAAACACCCTCCCACACTTGTGAGTAACTTAATTCTGGCAAAGATGAAAAATCCACAAATTATTTGGTTTAAAAATATTTATATGGCAATAAGTCTCTTGAAATATTAATGCATCTTTTAAGAACTCACTCAGAAAACCCATTTTTATAAAAAAAATAAACGAGAATCCCTAGATACTTATGACATAATGGCTTATAGAATACCTATTCTCAGAGCAACACACACATCACACACACTCCTCTCTTTCTGAAGAAAACCACCAGAATTCACCAGCCACAACTGCCCTGAGAAAACGAACAGTGCCATCCCCAGCAAAAGAAAGGCAGCAGAGGACCAGCAAGCAGCCTACTGATTCAAATGTAAAGCCTCAGGCTGAGTACGAGTGTCCTCAGCGGTGCGTGTTCCCTTCCATCCCTCCTTGCACCACAGACAGCTAGAATTCTGGCTCCTAGGGAACAGGGCTTGCTGTCTCCAGAAAGACCATGGATATAAAGAGGAGTGTGCCTCGGCTCACTGTCACTCCAGGACCAGCACGTGCTGGTAACATGGCCCACCTCCAGGATTTCCAAAACCCAGGAAGATGAGGTCCAAAACTTAAAAGCCAAGCCTGGCTGAAGGCAGTCCCCTGAGATCTCTGTCCTCAGATTTCCAGTAAAGACAGCCAGAGGTGCACACCCAAGGACTCCTGCCAGGGAAGCACTGAAGTACCTGTCATCTCAACCCAGGCTGCTGTTTCTGCAGCTCTCGTCAGTTCCTCTGTGGGGAGTTACCTGGGTTACCAGGCTCTGTGAGTGATGCTTCTGTGCTCAGAAACCCACCCCCAGATCCCAGTGCCAGAGAAGTGACCCTTGAACCCCCAAAACATGGAGAAGGGAAAGACTCAGCTTTTACGAGAGCTGCTAGAAAGGCTGTGTGGAAATAGATGGGCTCAACCTGCTCTCCTCGTTCATACTGACCTAAAGAAGTGCTAATTACTACTATGGTGGACTCTAGACACTCGGTCTACAACTCAGGGGTGGCAGGGCAGACATGCTTAGGCAGGATTCTGGGCTTCGATGATGGAATGACCTCTCTGGCACACACCTGACCCTGCTACTGTCCTACCAACATGGTCACAGATGTAGACAGCACAGCTGTATGCTAATGAAACGTCATTTACAGAAACAGGCAGTAGGCCATAGCTGGCTTATAAGACGATCTAGACCCCAGCCTTCTGTGGAGAAAGCCATCTCCTGAATGACAAGTCACCATCAAGACTTAAAAGACCCCTGAACTTTCATAGAAGAAAAGCAATCAAGATCCTTACTCAGGAACCTAAGATATACTTACACCACAGAGCAGGAACAGCTATTTGTTCAAATCTGAAGGCAGCACATAGTGACACAGGGCAGCCTGGCTCCAGGAGACAGGGTCCAAGGTTTCTTATAATCTGTACCTCAAGTAGATGGCTGTGGGCCACCAAAATGAAAATACTTTACACACCCTCCGCTTTCTACCCCACTCCCAACAAGGCTCTAAGCAGCTGTCTTCTCCCTGCAGTGACTTCACAATCAGAAAAGCCAAACACACCTTGATTCCTTGAGAGCAGAGCTGACTGGAAATCTAGCACCAAGAACTACATCCTGACCAGAGAGGCCTCCTGCCCTCCATAGTTCATAAAAACATACTTTGAAGCATAACATTTTAAGTTTTATTCTCACTAAAAAATTCTGAGCCTATGTATTACATTTTTTTTTCTTTTTCAAGGAGGGGCAGTCACATCAAAAACTCACTACTGTACCTTAGATACCCCGCTAGAGATCTGGAGACCACATAAGCTACAGCCTTAACAGTGAACGGCAAGACCAAGTGGCATCACTGGAAACACAGATGGAATCTTTGTACTATACCTCAGGACTCTCACCCACCAAGCTATGCTGCCACATTCACGTTTCCAGTTGGAGCCTGTTTTAAACAAGAGCCAATTGTGTGGCACTGTCAGGCAATCACTCCAAAGTGGAGTGGAGAAAGACTTGCTGGTGCTGAGGAATTAGTGTACAAAATTCCAAACATGCCATCTCTGCTTTCTTACATGCCTTTCTTATGCAGAATAATTAAATCCCTCAAAACAATCAGTGTCCACTTGGGAAATGTTACAGTGGAATCAGCAAACAGACAAGGTGTAGGTTTATTTTTGTGTCAAACTGAAGAAGCAACCATGAGTTTTGGGCTCATCATTTGCTAATCAAAACTGAAGACAAGCAGATATCTAATTGAGCTCAGGGTTAGGTTTCTATTCAGTTCTGATGGAGCCCACGGCCAGACACCCAACATTCAGGGAAAGGGGAGCTCACATGAAGGCCACAGAATGGAAGAGTAAGGGGCAAAGAATGGATCATCATTCTCCAACAGTTTGTCCACAGCCAACAACAGGCAGAAGGCCTTCCCCTTCTCCACTGCCTATGGGATGTCAGGGTAAACAGGATGGTTTGCTGTGTCCTGCTTTCTGTGGAGAGTCCAATAGGCAAGGTCATGGCCTTGCCAGGAAGTGAGCCTGCCTCACTGACTGTGTGCTGGGGAATCTTGGAATGACTGCTTTTCTTTGAGAACACCCTCCTCTTTGCAGTCAGGCTCCAGACAAGTCAAAAGCCTCCTCACCTTGGTGCTGGTTCCTCACAAAATACACCCTAGATCCAGCAAGATCTCTAGACAGAAATAAATATATCAGGTCCACATTTGTTATAGTCACAGTACTTCTGTGGGCCAGGTCTCTGAGCAGTTTCTCAGCTTTGGCATTGCTTTGTGGACCTGATCATGCATGTAGGGTGCAATGTATGATATTTTATAGCATCCTTGGCTCTGACCACAAGATCCTGCAGCCATGACACATAAAAAACATCCCCAAAGACTATCAGATGTCTGGAGGATCAAGGTCATCCTTATGTAAGCACTGGATTCAGTCTAAACACAAGGCCTACATTGGGGTTTCATGTGACTGTTAAATGTCACCAAATGGGGGAAAGATACTACCAAGCACTCCTAACTTTGGTCCTGCCACCAAAAAGCTTTCTACATCACCAAGCCTATGCAGTTTCCCGAGGACAGCCACAGACAACCTTCCAGGAGGCCTGTTCTCTGCCCCTCCGAGCCTGAGCTCCATCAAAGGAGGCCTCTGCTCAAGCTCACCTAATCCTAGCCCCAGTACGCCACGTGGCTCCACCCCACTCACCATGCTGCCCAGTGCTGTCAGTGCTGGTCTCTGAGCAGCTTACTCTTTAGCATAGACTACAGAGCCAGGGATAGGAGGCCTTAAAGTGGCAACCAGCCACGAACCAACATGAAGGCCAACTTGCCCAAGCAGGAAGGATCAGCAACTGACAGAGAAACGTTTTGCTAGTCTGACAACTGTGTGACTAAAGGACACATTACTAACCAACTGCCTTTCACTCTGCTGTACACTCAACATGTCAGAAGGCCAGGAAATGGTGTCGGATTAAGAACATTGCCTATTGTGTGGAAACCTGCTACTTGTTTTCATTAAATAAAGTGCTATGACATACTAACTCTCAAGTTACAATTTCATGATTTTATCTTTACTACTTCCTGAACATACAAAGTGCTCCTGAGCCGAAAGGCACCTCTCTCTCCACAACTTATTTTAACAGAGAAAAAAAAACACCAACCTGGATGGGTTGCAGCCCCTGGATTTTGACAGCTGAGTCCTTTATTTAGGATGGAGTAGGGCCTCCCACAGAACCCACTAGACCACACAAAGCATCCCTCATTTGGTTTGGTGTATCTACCTGTATCTCCAGGATCATTACAGGTTGGTTTCCCCATCAAAAGACCAGTGTTGGGATCAAAAGTGCTTGAGAAGATCCAGGTGAAGCTCCCCAATGCTTCCAGAATATAAGAATGACCTCTGACATCCCAATGCTCTGTCACAGCAGCTCCTCCTCCTCTTGCTCCTCCTCCTCTTCCTCCTCCTCCCCTTTTTCTTCCTCCTCCTCCCATGCATGGCTCACAGACTCCTCCTCCTCTTGATCCAAGAGCTTTTTAAAAACTTGAAACTCCTCAACAGAGGAACAGGCTGTCCTGGCCAAAAACTCAGCTTCAGAAACTTTGAGAATGTTCTTCAGTGAGGGATTAGAGATCTGTGTCTGCCCCTTCTTATCAGGGGTTTGGTACCGGCCAAGGCGCTCCAGGTAAATGTGTCTCTGCTTGATCTTGATTATGGAATACTGTAAGAAATTCGTCCTGACTATGTCTAGATGTTTAATTCCCATCCTGAAATATGCATACTGAAAGATACAAGCATGTTTAGAAATCCATGTATAGAACACTGAAGCCTGCCATTCCAACTCAAAACAAACTTTAGTCCAAAATCATTAATTGCCTAATTAGAGATGGTAGAATAGCCACTGTGTAATACCAACATTTGTATGAAATCTCAGTTTTCAAAGCATTTCCAAATTCAGGCTGAGAAAAATGCACCAGAAAACAAAGGGGGATAGAATGATATCCTTTTCTTTAAATAAGGCAACAAAAATCATGAGTGTAGGAAAAATCAGACCCAAAGAAATCATAAGATACCTAGGAATCTTTAAAAAAAAATGTGAGCGCCAGGCGGTGGTGGCGCACGCCTTTAATCCCAGCACTTGGGCGGCAGAGGCAGGCGGATTTCTGAGTTCGAGGCCAGCCTGGTCTACAGAGTGAGTTCCAGGACAGCCAGGGCTACACAGAGAAACCCTGTCTCGAAAAAAACAAAAACAAAATAAATAAATAAATAAATAAATAAATAAATAAATAAATAAATAAATAAAAAAGTGTGAGCATGCAGCTTGTTTTATTTGAGTATGTCACAGCATGCTTTAGAGGTCAGAGGCCAGGCTCACAAGTCTCCAAAGAACTTCCTGTCTCTATGTCCCATCGCCCCATAGGACATCCAGCTCTTAGGTGGGTTCTGGGGATCTGAACTCGGGTCCTCATACCAGCTTCCTGTGCTTGTTTGGTTGGTTTTTAGAGATACTGTCTCTACATAACCTTGGCTGTCCTGGAACTCACTGTGTAGACCAGGCTGGCCTCAAACTCAGAGATCCGCCTGCCTCTGCCTCCTGAGTGCACCACTACAACCCAGCTGTACAAGTGCTTATGACCTTACCTGTCGTATCTGTTAGTAAACTTTTAGGGCAACTGTCACAATTTCCAAATCCCCCACGCAAAAAGACATGTTTTACCTACTTGGACCTGGAATGGACCAGGCCACTCACTGTCAAGGAAGCAGAGCTAGAGAAGAGGTTTGCATTGGAGAGGAGAACTGAGCTGGATTATTCTAGAACAAAAGTCCTTTACTCAGAGGCTTCTTATCCAGTCAGCTGACCCTACTCAGCTTAAAAGACCTGATAGCTGCCATCACCAGCCTAAGCACTGACCCTCACCTGGAATTTGTATTCTAGCTCACTGGGGTCCTCCTGCAGAACAGCCGGGCATCTGTGCAGAATGTCTGTGACGTGCTGCACTGTGAACAAGCACTTCTCCTTGAGGACCTGTACAATGCTGTCAATGTCCCGCTGATGCATGGTGAAAATCTCAGGGCAAACGTAAAGCACTCGCTTCAGTTTCCCTGTAGGGAAAAGCAAAGCATGTAACTTCAGCATGTTCCAGAAAGCCAAGGGCTAAACAACATTTAGGGGCTGGTAGATGAGGTGGGTAAAGGCACCTGCAAGCAAGCCTGTAACTTGAGTTCAATCCCCAAGACCCACATTATGGAGGCAGACAATTGACTCTAGAAGTTGTCTTGTGCACTTTCAGATACAGACAGATACACGCACACGAGCACACACACGAGCATGCACACATGCCTCTGAGATAGAAGGAGGGCAGGGGTGACTACACAGCAAGGATCCTCTTCCTCCACAGGACTGCCCATTCAGAGATCTACCTTCCATGAAGCACCCTGGAAAGGAGTCTCCACAGATCCAACAACCATCCCTATATCCCTGCCTTTCTCTCATCCTCTATCTGAAGGTGCCAACTTCATATTCTAGATCTCCTCTTGCTTACCTAGTATAGAAAGCTCCCCAGGGATTCACCGGGAAATGTTAGAGGAGAGGTTTCCTGAGTGGGGCTCAGGGCTGCTGCTTCACTCTGTATAAGACAGACTAACAATCTCTAGACATGGGAGCCTCAGTGAAGAGGAATTTGGGAGTAACAATGGTAGGAACAAGAATATTCAGGACACACAATTACAAGTAGCCTGTGCATGACCATGTGTTATATTCAAGTGTTTTATTGTTTGTTTTGTAGGGTCTCCTTAGTAGGCCTGGAACCTAGAGATCCAGCCACCTGTCTTTAGAGTACTGGGTTTAATTTAAAACATGCACTGCCAGACCTGGCCTCTATGTGTTTTTTATTGAGTTACATTAGTAACTGTATTCAGATAAATAGTATAAGCAAGGCTCTCCCAGACAAAATGAAGTAAATGGTCTTCTGATGAATAGTGCCAATTTAGTAACTGGAAACTTAAAACTCACTTAGCCTGTTAACTAACTTTCCTAACAGCCTAGCTGGTCACTGCTTCGCTTCCATGTGAAGAAGTGTTTCCACAGCTGTATTTTCATCTCTCAGGCTGTGCATCACGTACTGACTGAGCTTGGGCTTAGATGGCATTGCAAGAGACAATCTGTCAAGGGGAACACATTATCTTTTTGCTTATCTTCTTGAGGAGGCCTGTAGAGACACCAAACATAGTGGGCTCTAAGCCTCCCCACTTTGGAGGTAAAAATCTTACCAGAACAGTCAATAATGAAAAGAAATAAAAGTGGTCAAAGGGGTGGTAGAGTTCACTGGAGAGCGCCACCTCCCTTCTCCAGAAGGGTGACAGCTATTGGAAGGGGGAGGCCACTCTAACAGCCTTCCAGGAACCGGGCACCATAGCTCTGAAAGTTGCATGTGGGATGTTTTTGCAGAGGTCACACATATGCATACACATACATCACTACCATAGAGCAACACTAACCCACCAAAACCACATTCCATGTTCCCACTGATCGGGAGCTAGAGACCAGTGAAGACACAGTTTGGCCTTGGTTCTCTCTCCTTGGGCTAATCTCCCTCACCTCCCTCTTACAACGAGATTTGAAGAAAGCCCACTGCACATCTCACCTGGAGACACTCACCTCTCCTGAGCCAACTTCCCTCCCTCACTTCCTCTGAGTTAGATATGTTTAGCCCACAGCACACATGCATCCCGATATCTCTATGAACGCAGCCTAACTCATTTGTAGGTGATAATGCCATGCTAGACTATCAAAAGGCTGGACAACCCTGCTAGGGTAGGCTACTTTCTCCCTAACTCTGATTTCTCTCACTCTATAAAGTCTGCCTCATCTTCTACCTACCTTCTCCAAGGCCAAGCTTCCGAAGGTAACTGGAACGCCTCTTCATTTGCGCAGTAGACAGTTTCAGCAACTGGGGATTTTTCTTCAACGCTATAAATACAGGCTCTGGGTTCAACCCCAAGAGTAGGAGTTCTGCAATTATGTCCAGTAACTGTTGAGGATGGACACTTGGCTGTATACTAAGCAAGCTGTTAATATGGGCTTCAGAAAAACCCATGTCCTGGAGGGAATTGATGACCTCCAAGGACTCAGGATCCACACAAGTCCTCTGTTGCTCATGAAGACACTGAACAAGATGTGTCCTGTACTTTGGTTCCTGCACAGACTTTTTGGGTGGAACGCTGGAAAACTCTTGAAATCCCCCACTACTGGGTACTGTAGTCAGTTTGCAGAACAAATAAGGACTCAACTGTTTCTGTTGTCTGAGATGAAGAGTCTGCCTAGCCAAACAGGCCCGGGAGAGGGCCGTTAAACGATGCCACTCAGGAACCTGTAGAGCAGAGCAAAAACAGAATCAGTTCCACCTCAGAATAGTGACCAACCACAAGATCACTGAGCCGGTAACCTTGAACCTCAGCTTGAACCTTAGCCCACAAAAGCTAACAATTTTTGTAAACAATCTATAAAATCTTCTCTGGGTCTAAAAAGGCTTCAGAGAAGAAAATTAGCATGCAAACAACAGCACTTACTGAAGATATAGGGAGAACAAGCAATATCCACATACTGACGATATAGGGCACAAGCAATAATATTTGGCTGAAAATTCTGAACCTCAGACTAGTCACTAGACAAATACACTACTTAATTTCATTCCAACAAAGGACAATTTTTTTTCAAGGATCCTTTCCATTAAAGAAAGAATATTTGGGGGGAAGGAATCTGTCAATTTGTACACAGTAGCCCTCAGTGGTTGGGACTAGCACATAACAAAATAAGCACAGAGCACCCGGTGTCTGCCAGACTGGTCTCAAACACTCTCTAGCATGTCCAGCCTCCGCTTGCCGCTATTTGGCGGTCCAGCCTTCCCTAGGCAGCACAGTGGCCGAAACTCCGGAGAAGCCAGAAACTTTATCTGTGCAGACGCCATCCGGGAGCGCTTCTGCCACAAGGTGCCCAGACCGGGATACCAAGAATTAGCGTCAGGGCCTCCTGAACGTCCCGCCAACAGCC